ACTAACCACGTCTGCCTTATCATTTATCAGTATTCCACCAAGTTGTGCAGAGCCAGATAGTCTGTCCGCCTGTCCATTTTCCTGCTTTGAGTTTATGCCGACAACGGTAAATTAAAAGTTTACTAAAAAAAAAAAATGAGGGTGTTGATTCTTCACAGTCCTGTAATGATCTGTTTGTGCCTTCGCACTGTTCACTCGCCCTCAAGGACCCTCACAACATCTAGCTTGTCATACATCAATTTTTCAACAAGGCGTGCAGAACCGGTCAATCCATCTGCCTGCTCGTTTCCCAACACACCAGCGTGACCTTTCTCAGCATACTCTGGGAGTCAGTTACAAATACGACATGTGTATTAACTTTCAGTCAGTCAGTAACCTGTCCTTTGCAGAACCTTGCTCCTATAACTACCTTTCGGAACCTTTCTTTTCTTTGGCCTTCCTCTTTTTCTCTTTCCAGGCATATACCCCTCCATTATTGTTCTCTCTAAACTTTCGTGACGTTTTAGTGTTAACTTTAACACATCAAATACATTGATGCAGAAGTACCCTTTTTGCGTGTACGAGGTCTGTTGTGATTTGGAGCGGGCACGTTGGACTTCTTGTGGGCGTATCATCATCACACCTTGCTACATTCGGATTTGTGTGGTACTTTCGACAATCTGCCCCAAATAAGGAGTGTTCTGTAAAACTAACTATGGGACACCGGTGAAGACCTCAGGCTTACCGTCCTGTTAGCTATGCTGGTTTAGATAAATATCAAATGTTGATTAATGAGGTCTTTGGATTGATTCTGTTGCCATTCCACCACAATCTGAGACCATCTGGTATGACTTTTTCCTCCGCAACTGCAAATCTTAAAGATCACCATGGTGTTCCCAGGTTCATGTTTTTCTCATTACTCGACGAAATGCATGTCCCGCATGACCAAAGAACACTGCGCGTTGCAAGGTCTGATGAGTAAAGACGGTGGACGTGGATATTAACCACACTAGGTCTCATTAGTTTTAAGTAATAAAACTCTAGTTTAACACGGGACACTCAGCATGCATCAAACCGTGGACTTACATACTTAGTCGCTTTTCTTCTACATTGTGGTGTAGGCGTTCGCCAGACTTCTCTTTTATCAGTTTTCTTTTTGGCTTTGTTCCATTGCAGTTCTTTGTCAGTCAGGGATTGTCGGATGTTGTCTTTCCTGTAGGTTTTGGTACCCTGGTTTTCAACCTCCCATCCAAGCCACGGTGACCGATTTTCTCACATTCTACAGACAAGTACAAACCATCGTAACTAACTGATCCACTCGAGTTTGTAAGGCCTGTGTCAAGCCGCGGAGACGGGTTTCTTTACAGTTGCCCACTACCTGTTCCTTCTTTACTCTGCACTTTTGCCTTGCTGATTAGCCAGCACGGACAAATCGTATACGGCATAGCGGCTAAGCTGTGACCTTTGGCAGGCGTGCAGATTAAGCAGCCGTGACAATTTGCAGAAGTCAAAAGGGCACAGGACTGACCTCTGAACGATGTAGTTTTTATAAGAATTATAGTTAGTTTTGCCCAGGGCAGGACATTTTTGTGTATTTGTGCGTGTTTCTTCTTCTCATCCTTAATTTTTTGGGGCATTTCTAACATTCCAGTGTTAGCAATTATTCGTTTTTAATTTATGGAATTTTAATTTTATCTGATATCTCTGCTTTGAAAATGGTGTTTTATGATGTTTCTCTGATTTTTTGTGTGTGGGTGCTCTAATTTTAGACGACCGCAAAAAATGAAACCCCGGAATCTCCAGTCTAGTCCACTTTTCTAGGGTGTTATGTGTTGCGTTGTTCTACGTCTTCTGTCGGAGTCATGTCGTAACACCCCTAGAATAGTGGACTTGACTGGGGATTACGAGTTTCCCTTTGCTTGGGGTAGTCTAAGATTATAAGACCATTATTTGTATGGAGATGGAGGGTCAGTGTCCATTCTTGTATAATATCAAACTACATCATCGTCCATGGGGAAAGATCGTTCGTGTGCTTTTTCTAATGCAGCCTGTGCTGGTACTTATTTCTCCAAAACTGTGCCTGGTGACGTCGCTTCACCTTTTCCGTGTTCATTAAAATTCGTTCTTTATGGGGACTTTTGTGGAAGTTGGTACTAGGGCTGTCCCCGGGAGAGTCGACTAATTGGAGAACTCGTTCTAAGTCGGAATGCATCTGCCTGACAGGCACACACACAAAGTAAAGATTCATTTTCCCGCCTTAGGAGCATCGGGCATATGGGAAAAGCACCCATATTTCTACAGACAATCGGCATTAGGTGGGTAATGTGGTGAGCATTACGCCGGCCGCCCTTACTTCCCCAGGACATATATGCTGGTACCCATTTTAGGCTCGGCCGACCTGCGACGCCCCACACCATTATAAAAATCCACGCAGCCAGCAGTGAGTTTCCATCTTGATACGTTGGAATTACGAGTCGGACTCGCAACGCCTAAGCCACGGACGCCGCCCTGAGAGGCTAGGAGCCAACAACATTGCATTCATATAAAACAGATGTGCACGCAATAGTCACGTTTTGGAAGTAGACTGAATTCCAGAGGTGGACCAATGACTAAAACTTTCCGTTGATGTTTACAGGTGGTGAACGCAAAGGAGTACCACGCCATCCTTTTCAGATGGCCGAACCTTTTAATATATTCATTAATGCAGTCATTCTCAAACTGCGCCCCGGGGAGCCGCAAACTCTTCACATGGGCGCCGCGAAATATTCGAAGATACATGAGTTTTCCCCCCCTCTTTAATCTCTTACATAGGAATAGTCATGCTTTTACTTAGATAAGGGCGCCGTGGAACAAATTTAATTGGGGAAAAAAAGGCGCGGCAACTAAGAAAAGATCGAGAAACACTGCTTTAATAAATAGTTTGACTGGTTTGAGGATTGTTTTTTTCCCGTCCATATCGTTATTTTTTTTTAAAAACCTCTTGTTATTCCTGTACGCAATTTGCCCGTCTATAGTGCGACAATCTTTGTTATTCTGTAAAATATACAGATTACTTATTTGTGTTTTATTTCAGTTTTTCTAATTAAACCATTGGTTTCCCCCTTTCTTTCTGATAGATGTCGAAAAACATTTGGTAATATCAGTTCTGTTGTCAGTTTTTTATGGCTTTTTATGTCGAACTGTTCCTGTATATCCAAGTGGGTTTCAGTTATAAATGGTTCAATTTTCTAGCTACACATTTGCTTCTGATAAAGATCTAAGTTGACAAGTTCGCTTATAACGGCGTAGACTGATTTTGCTTGTGAATTATCAGCAGTCAATGTTCGCAATCTCTCTTTCTCCGACTTGGTTCTTTCTTGGTTCTGCACCGTCCTGTAAAGGATACGCAACTAACTTTTCTTCTTCATCATCATTATGCTAGTCAATTGTAAAGTCCTGGTTGTTCGTCCGCTTCTTCACTTTGGTCTTGAACTAGCTAACGCTTTACTATTTCAGCTCTGTGTGAGCATGTGACTGGAAACCCCAAGATTTCAGTCAAAACCTTCTTTTATACCCGAGAGGATGATTTATTTTATGATATTTCAGTTCTCCATTCAATCATACATTTTAAAAGCAAACAACAACAATGCAGACTAAACGTTGTCTTATAAGCCTGTATGCTGGCGTTTCTTTCATTTAACTTTCTAGTCACGCGTTTCTGTGGAGGCTCGGGCAGAGCAAGGCTGTTACGTTTCTCCTGAAGGCTTCACTCCAAGACGATAAAAGTTATGATGCTAAGGGCTAGGATCTTCCCTGCCGTTTGAAGTAGAAAGATTTGGGGAGGGCGCCAAAGGGGGTGGGGGCGTACGCGTGCCGCCTTCTGATTGGCGTGCCGGGAGGGATGTTGGTGGCGATGAAGATGGGGAAGGGGGTGCAGAGAGGCCGTGGACGCTTGTATTAAAAACGGCACATGCACACAGCGACCTTTAGATACTGGGTGGCGGGAAAGAGTTGGCGCGTCAGCAGATCTTTTATTAGGTTGGCGGCTGCTATTTTAGTTCTGGTGGGAGCATATGAAAGAAAACCTGGGTGCCTGGTAGTATTTTTTAGGTGTAAATTTGGGGCATGTCTATCAGCGAGTTAAAAAAAATGGACCGGAAACAATTAAGTTATGCTTTCTCCTTCTGTGGCTTAGGCGTTGCGAACGCGCTTCGTAATGCCGTGGTGCCGGGTTCAATTCCAGCTGCGGGCCTTGCGTTGGTTTTCGACTATGGTATCGAGAGACCGACCGTCCAGAGAGCAATGACAAACTATTTAGAGTAAATTTGCCTATAAAAACCACCACAGCGTTAAAAAAAAATGCTAGGGTTGGTTCTGTAGCGTCCTGTAAAGGATACGCAACTAACTTTTTTTCCCTTCTTGTTCATCATCATCACCATCATCATGCTTGTAAAGTCCATGTTGTTCGTCCGCTTCTGGACTTTGGTCTTGAACTAACTAAGGTCGCCTCACTATTATAGCTCTTATAGTTCTCCTCTAAAGGGGCTAAAATTTGGAAAATGATAATCGTCACGGGATAGATGGGCTTAACCTTAATGTAGAAAGATCATTAATACAATACAACTGACAATGATCTGCAGGCCACTTGCTAGGCCTCCGCGGGCCAGATTTGGCACACGGGCCGCCAGTTTAATGGCCCTGCCTTAGATGAACATCAATGTGAGAGGCCAAGGCTGCTGGACTGGGTTCCATCCATCATATTGAACTGATTTCACAGGATAGAGTAAAAGTAAAGGACCCTTTTCCACACTTTCAGGCGTATTGGGTATATAGGGCTAGACCTCTTTTTTTATAGACAAATGGCACAAGATGGGTAATGTGGTCAGCATCATCGACCTGGGAGGCAGGGTAGAGTGGAATGGAGAAATAGACTGCTAGCCCTATAGGACATATAATGGCACAGTATGATTAATAAATAAACGAGTTGACCAGTTGTTCATAAATTCCAATGTCCACATTTTTATTGCTCTCTTCACGAACAGAATCAGTGGGTTTCAGCAACACTTGTACAGCATTCTAACTCATCCTTGAATGACGAGGTTGACGGAAACATCATCACCCAAGGACATGCCCAAAGAGGTTCCTTTGAGCGCTTCAGATCCCTGGACTTTCAGCTTCGATTTCAGAATGTCTTCACCACTCCACCAGCTTCCGTTAGGTCACCGCTTCCTCTTTTCAAGTAAGTGCCACCTTCATTTTTGTTCTGAGATATGGGTGCGTCAATGGAAATAAAAGAGCTGATTGCTTTGCTGGATCCGCTATATTGACAGTCAACATGATATTATTAATGCCCTGTGAGAAATTGGAGAGGTGGAAGACTTTGGGGGGCAATGAATCCACACCACTTGCCAGAATGATAGACTTGGAAGTTAAGATCGGCATAGCAAAAAATGAGACGCACACCAGGCACATCAGAGGACTTGTTAATCAACATAGAACTGGTACTGTTAAACACCTGACGCTGGGGTTCATGCTGAGGGGAGGATCTGAGCGCGTGTGGACACCTATGGAGTGCAATGATGATAACCCAACTAAGTGCCAGTTTTTTCTGATTACAAAAACAACTGGAAAGTGGTTGAGAAAAAAAAAGTAGTAGGATAACAAGGTTATTGATTTCATTAATCATTGCTCATTGGAGGAGAATGGAGAGGCTTTCTGGCATGCTGTGACGAGAACAGAGGTAAAGTCTTGGATTGTGGAGCCTTCGACAGTCATGGAGTATAAAAGTAATTTCAGCTGCGCATTTGTCCTGAAGCGCTATATACAACATAAAATGTGCACTTAAAACTAGTGGATTGACCAGATCCTTCCGCTGGGGTTTACAGCAGGTAAACACAAGGAAGGTCTAGCTTTGTTCTTCTTCTTCTTTTGTTCGCCTGAAATAAGTTGTCTATATCAGCAGTTTTGTCTCTTGTATAAATTTCACTGTCGTTGTTAGTTCATTCAGTGGTCTATAGTGTTTACGTTCCACTGTTGTTCTTTCTGGCCAAAAGGTTTGCCTTAATGTGTCAAAATCAGTGCAGTCCTGGAGTACATGCTCTGCTGTCTGGGGCACATTTCCACAGGTGCACATGACTGATACACCTATCTTGAATTTTGTGTACATGTGGTTACGTAATCGGTTGTGTCCTGTTCTGAGGCGGAGGATAATGACTTGTTCTGGTCTGTCCATAATAAAATAGTCGTCTAGTGCTGGGGCTGGTGGTTTCCTGATCGATTTAATGATTCTTTTCTTCTGGTGGCATGTGACTGGTACATCCAGCTGCTCTTTTGTCGCTCCTTCCACTGCCAGTTGATCAGCTTTCTCATTTCCAGGCACTCCACAATGGTCTAGCTTTGTTGAATATTGAAACTCTCTAGTATCCCTTCTTTTCAATCTTGGCATGTTCATTTATTGCTTTTTGTCATAAACCCTGATGGAAGCTGTAGTGTCAAAGTGGCCAGATGCTCAACTACTGGCCTGATGGTCTTTTCCACCACAGTTGACCTCGGCAACTAAGGTTGACCTAAAATGGGCACCAGCAGATGTCTGGGAGATCAAGGCAGCCGGCATGATGTGGCAATTTATGCACCTAGTGCCCAGTAGAATATGTGTAGCATCATTTGCCTAAACCATCACTGGTGTTTAAAAAAGAAAGCGACTTCATTGCGCCAGGTTTGATCCGTATGGCTTGGGCTCTCTCCATAGAATGGCTAGGCGTTTGCTGTGAGCATTGCACAAACTTAGGCAGCCATTCCCGGGAATCACCATTAAAAAAGCTTGGGAACCGAACAGTACAGCTGTGAAATGAACCCATAACCTTCAGAGTGTGAGGCAGATGGCCTGACCACTTTACCCTTGAGACCCAACAGAGACACACAGCAATGAGAGACCCCAAGAGAGCAATGAGAGACTCTCACACACACACAGCAATGAGAGATTCTCACACAGACACAGCAATGAGAGACTCTCACACAGACACAGCAATGAGAGACTCTCACACAGACACACAGTAATGAGAGACTCACACAGACACACAGCAGTGAGAGACTCACACAGACACGCAGCAATGAAAGACTCACACAGACACACAGCAATGAGAGATTCTCACACAGACAGAGCAATGAGAGATTCTCACACAGACACACAGCAATGAGAGACTCACACAGACACGCAGCAATGAGAGATTCTCACACAGACACACAGCAATGAGAGACTCACACAGACACACATCAATGAGAGACTCACACAGTCACAGCAATGAGAGATTCTCACACAGACACACAGCAGTGAGAGACTCACACAGACACGCAGCAATGAGAGACTCACACAGACGGAGCAATGAGAGATTCTCACACAGACACACAGCAATGAGAGACTCACACAGACATGCAGCAATGAGAGACCCTCACACAGACAGAGCAATGAGAGACTACCACACAGACACACAGCAGTGAGAGACTACCACACAGACACACAGCAGTGAGAGACTACCACACAGACACACAGCAGTGAGAGACTACCACACAGACACACAGCAGTGAGAGACTACCACACAGACACACAGCAGTGAGAGACTTACCACACAGACACACAGCAGTGAGAGACTATCACACAGACACACAGCAGTGAGAGACTACCACACAGACACAGCAATGAGAGATTCTCACACAGACACAGAGCAATAAGAGACCCCCAGAGAGCAATGAGACTCTCGCACAGACACACAGCAATGAGAGACTCACACAGTCACAGCAATGAGAGAGCCCCAGAAAGCAACGAGACCCACACAGATACAGCAATGCCTCCCCTTCCACAGACACAGCTTAGTAATTAAACAGACCCCCCATAGACACAGATCGACACCCCCCCCCCCCCTCCTTCTAGATACAAAACATTAAGAGAGACACCACTTCCCCACACTCTCACACACAGCAGAGAGAGATCCAGCACATGGTGATCCCGCATCAATCCTGGACACCACCCCCCCCCCCCAGATACTTACAACAAAAACAATAAGAGAGACCCCCTTCCCCACACTCTGGTCGTGAGCCGTGGCGCAGCCCCGTTGGTGTAGGGGCCCGGAGTGTTGAGTTGATTCAGTGTTGACAGTTACCACACTTGATGTCTTCCTTACAGCTGGGCAAATTCTCATGATGTCTGGCAAAACATGATCAAGAAAGAGCTAACGTTCCAGAGAGATCCCGGAATGTTCCGCAACCACCCAGAACTTCAGCCCAGAATGAGGTCTATTTTACTAGACTGGCTGTCAGAGGTATGGTCATATTTACCTGTTATGTTTACAGGTTGTCACAGTGTCCTTTCACTCTGTACTTGGTGAGTCGTTTACTCTCTCACAGGGCAGACACGATCCTCCTTCTTCGCGTTCAGCAGCTGTAAACTCGGGTGGAAAGTTCTGGTTGTTCGTCCACTTCTGGACTGCAGTCCTGTTCCAGAACTTGAGAGTTGCGTGTTGTTGTTGTGTGTGCATCTGCTTGAGATCTGACTAATTTGTATGCAGACTGTTGGTTCCTTGCCTCTCCGGCAGATGCACTCTGACTTTGAAGGAAGCTCCTGTTTAGTCGACTCTTACGACATGCTTTTGGGTAGGCAGTGGGTCTGTTCTTGTTTTCCCTATAACAGGGCCCCGGAACCCACATGGGAAGAAGAGACACGATCCAGTACGCCGTGTCTCTTGTCCTGGTTGTACACTCTCTCAGACTGTTGCTGGTCCATCTCTTGATGTTATCCTCACACTTGTGTCTAGGAGTAAAGTGCTCGTCTTATCTGGCAGCTTCTGTTGCTTGCTTTGTTGCAAATGTATTGGTGTTGCCTTTCCTGTGGAGCTAACCAAGGAAGAGTAAACAAAGAGAGAATGGCCGTGCTACATGAACAATATCGCTCAGGCTTGGTGCTGTGTAGAAGGAGGAAATTTATCCCAAGCCCTAATTGGCTGTGATTTCTTTGCCCTTCTACAACACAATTGACCAATATCGTCTGGGCAAACAGAAGGGTGCCAATGGAAGTAAGTATTAGACCCAGGAACAATGACTAGCAAGGAAGGTGGACTCATTCAATACCAACTCTGGTTGAAAAGACTTTGATACATCAGACCGAAGTCCCATATTTACGAAACCTTTTCTTCACCTCCTGTGAGGCATCTGAAAACTTGGGCTAACATTTCCCCAGTATTGATTTACAGTGAAGCTTCATGATGTCCTAGTGCCTTTTCTTCTTTTAGGTTTAAGGCTTAAACAACAGGTTAACATCATGGCACAAGGGTAGTAATCCAGAAGGGTTCTTTCGTTCTACGTCTAACTCGTCTGAGTCCTGAAGAATCTCAGCAGTGCACAAACTCCGTAGCACCGTCGAGAATCCTGAAATGTTCTAAGTATATATATAATTCCACATGTTGCCCGGGCAGCGCCGTTAGGCTACTCTTTTCAATTTCCAACTGTCAAGGGATTTTTAACGTGCGCAACAATACACATAGGCATCCGATCTTACTACCCAGAGAGCAGAGGAAATTACTAGAAGTCCATGTGAAAAAATTACCAGCCTGAACCGGGAACCTCGAGCGCTCGGGCGGACGCCATGTCTGGAGACCACTCAGCGCCCTAGTGCCTTTTCCTCATCAAAGGCCAGCAGTACAGTTTGCAGTTACCCTTTGGCTTTATTGGCAGCTATTCTAGAGGGAAGTGCAAACAGACACCACACATGTAATTTTGTATTTTCATGTCTGTCCGCATGTAATATTTTGTTGTTGTTATTAATATCTATGCACATATAACATTGTATTATCTTGATATTACTGTTTGTAGGTATGTGAAGTCTACCGGTTACACAAAGAGACCTTCACCTTGGCAGTAGATTTTGTGGACAGATACCTCAGTATAGCCAAAAATGTGCCGAAAACTCAGCTCCAGCTGTTGGGCATCTCATCGCTGTTTGTGGCTGCCAAGTTGGAAGTAGGAGTTGTTCTATATTGTTGAATGTGTTTAAATACTGTCCGTGTACTAGTACGGGAACTACAGTAATGTAGTGGCTAGATAGGGAACTACAGTAATGTAGGGGCTAGATAGGGAACTACAGTAATGTAGTGGCTAGATAGGGAACTACAGTAATGTAGTGGCTAGATAGGGAACTACAGTAATGTAGTGGCTAGATAGGGAACTACAGTAATGTAGTGGCTAGATAGGGAACTACAGTAATGTAGTGGCTAGATAGGGAACTACAGTAATGTAGTGGCTAGATAGGGAACTACAGTAATGTAGTGGCTAGATAGGGAACTACAGTAATGTAGTGGCTAGATAGGGAACTACAGTAATGTAGTGGCTAGATAGGGAACTACAGTAATGTAGTGGCTAGATAGGGAACTACAGTAATGTAGGGGCTAGATAGGGAACTACAGTAATGTAGGGGCGAGAAAGGGAGCTGTGGTAATGTAGGGGCTAGATAGGGAACTACAGTAATGTAGTGGCTAGATAGGGAACTACAGTAATGTAGGGGCTGTAAGCTTGCCTGCTAAACAGCCAAAAGGTTTAGGGTTTAAACCTGCACTAGGATTGTTTTTTATAATTTATTAAAGGATGTGTGCCATGACTGAAGTCAGTGTAAAAGTAGTGGCGCGGTGATTTATGTCACAGGCGTGAGGGGAAGTTAAGTCCAACATGATGTGTATAAGGAGATACTCCGTACGTCACTCGGGCGCCAGTCCTTTAATATCCTGGTTGTACGGTAATGTCACGCAAGACCCCGGCAGCTACAGTAATCGTCGTGCGCCACGGATAATGTCTCAACTAGCATTAACAGAGCTGTCAGGGGATCTCGGAGTTTGGGGCCCCCACAGGTGATGTGTCCTTATGGCTATCATCAGCCCGCCCAGTAACGCTTAGGGTGAAAAATAGTTAATATAACTCATTACAGAACACGTAGGTCTGCCAAACGATAGCCAAAATTACAACCCTTGGTTAAAAGGCTGCGGAGTAAAGAGAACTTCACTGCACATGTTAACCCTCAGTGTCGTCGTCACCGATAGGGTACACCACAACAGCAACCATCCATAGGCTAGCCATATGTACATCCCCAGTTAACCCTCAGTGTCGTCGTCACCGCGCTGGGGTAGACCACAACAGCAACCATCCATAGGCTGGCCATTCATGTACATCCTTGGTTAACCCTCAGTGTCGTCGAACCGCGCTGTGGTACACCATAACAGCAACCATCCATCGGATGGCCAATGTAGTGGTCCGACAAAACTAGATCATACGATCAAAATCTGGCCCTGTAAATTTGTATTGAACTGAAAAAGCCCGAAGGTTTACACCTAAAGACCTGCACTCGCCCGAGTGTTTGGGATAAAAACTGATAGGATATGCCCATTAGCAGGATGTAAAATTCTGTCGGGCTAACGGCTCGTCAAAGAAATCTAACTGCGAAGTAAAAAAAGAATTTACCTATCTGTGTTCTAACAAAAGTCCAAAACCCAAGACTGCTCCCCGCTTTCCAGAGGGCGCAGCCCCTGTCGAGCCTTTAGCCATACGGTTGTTTAAGCAGGTGTTAGTGACGATTCCTTGAGTGACCCAGAACCCAGAGCGCCTGTGCCGGCTCTGCATACACGGATGCCTCCTTGGATGGCGGGGAATGCCCATGATCTGCCCCTGCCTTCCCTTGAGGCTAACTGCTCCACAGGGGGCTGACCCAAAGGGGTACTCAGGGGGCAATACAGCGGCAAAGTAGACAATGTGGACACCACACAACTTACTTAGTCGCTCCTCACAAAACTTGGGGTGCCACAGGTTTGCCCTAGAAATAGGCCTGACGTCTTCCTTAGTCGGCGTACAGCTGCCCATGAGGCAGGGAAATGAAAAACGGTTGTACACGCAAAATTCAGGTCCAGGTGAAAGCCAAAAGTCCAAGGGACAATGTACCGGACCTTCCACTGGAATTCCCAGCGTGTTCGATGAAAAAAAAAAAAAAAGTGTACTGGTTCCCTTCTTCAAAGCCTGCAGCAGAATTGAACCTAGGGGGCTCATTTTCATCCCATTCTAAACGACAAAAGAAGACTTTTTGTCCACAACCAGCCTTTAATTTTTGTTAGTAAAATTGATCTACCCAGTGCTGCTCCTGCTACCCACGGGTCACATAGAGATGTCCCCATTTTCTTTTACTATAGGTTATTGGTTTCCAAAGTAGCAGGTGGCCACACCCTGTAGACATGACAACTGAGCTAAGGGGAACCTAGGAGACCGGGGGCTGACATCACAGTTTTTTTGTCCATAGTGAAGTGCATGACCAGAGATTGATGAAGAATACATTTTCCAGAACTATGTTTGCAACTGTTGTGTGATTGCTGGTCTTCATTCCAACGTGATTTGGCTGAGTTTTTCTCTTTGACGAGTTTTCAGGAGCTGAGTTAGATGACTACTGTGTCCAGCTGGCATGACACTTAACTTTAGCTAATGCCTGAATTTTGTGAGTTTTTTTTTTAATGTTTGTTTGATTCATAGTTCCTGTTACAACAAAAAATGTCAGTGTTTCCCCTTCTTCTTTGTTCGCTGGGTGTAAACTTCAGCGGAAAGTCTTTTGTTTACCCATTTAAATTAGGCTTTGTGCCAGTGCCTGAGTTTTACACGTACATTCGTTTTACTGGCTTATTTGTGTGCAGTTGGTTGTTCCTTGCCGCTTGGGCTGTTGAACTCAGACTTCAAGGTAGCTCACAGTTAGTTGACTCCTACGACATGCTTGCTGGTCAGGCAGTGGGTATGTTTTTGTTTTCCCCCCACAATGGAACCCCGTAACCCATATGGGGATCATGGTTTTTGAAAAAGAAAAAGAAAAAAACCCATTAAAAAAGTGTTTATACCAAAGCTTTTATTACTTTTCTTGCATACAATAACAAGTGCCTAAGATTTTGTGTGTACACCCGTTTTACTGGCTTATCTGTGTGCAGTAGGTTGTTCCTTGCCCTAGGGCAGATGTACCCTGACTTTCGAAGGATGCTCCCCAATAAGTCGACCCCTACAAAATGGTTGTTAGGGCGCAGTGGGTCTGTTTTTGTTTTCCCCACAAATGGGGCCAAGCAACCCACATGGGGATCATGGTTTCTGAGAAAGATTCATAAGTACGGGGGCTTCTGTGTTATTTTAAGTATTTATAACCATGCTGGGGAATGTAGCGTCAGAGAAATGTTGTCATATTTTTGTAATTTCTTTTTGCCCATTAGGAAATTTATCCTCCAAAACTGTCAGAGTTTGCCTATGTGACTGACTCAGCATGCTCCGAACAGGATATTATCAGGCAGGAAATGATCCTTGTGAAAGTGAGTTGCTATCTAAAGTAGTATGTTTTTGTAGTCATAAAGTAAGTTGCTATACCTAAAGGTGAGCGTTTTTAGGCAGTCATGAAGTAAGTTGCTGTCTAAAGTGGTTAGTGCATGTAAATAGTCATTAAGTAAGTTGCTGTCTAAAGTGGCGCATTTTTTTTTTTTTTGGTAGTCATAAGTTGCTATTTAAAATTGGTGAGTGTTTTTTGTAGTCATAAAGTTAGTTGCTCCTTTCCTTCTGAAACATGTTTTATCATGATCAGCTTGACAATTGTTGTGCTTGTTGAGTCCTTCAATGCAGCAATCATCTTGAAGTACCTTTACTGATTGTTCCAAAATGAAGTTGATTATAACACCTCTTATCTTGACCGTAAAGACCATATAGATGTTCTTGGCTGGTTTTACTCCAAGGTCAAGTAAATTAAAATTATAAACAAAATATAGTTTGGCCAGATTTTTCTCCCTAGTCAGGAAAATTAAAATGGACTTTCATTTTCAAAATGGCAATCGGTACTGAATTTTTTTTTATTGCTATGATATCCTCTAGGATTTTTTCTTTTCCTTGTCATGGCTTGCTATTTTGTGCACATTTTCTGTGCAGCGTACTGTGTTGTTTTGTGTGTAGAAGCCCCGTATGTTGTGATTGTGCCTTGTCAAGGCAGGATAATGGCTGTATATGATTTGGCAGCCCTGTCCATGCTGTGCTCATAGTGTTAAATTGATCGTAGCTGTCCACTATCTGGGAAGACTGAATTTTGTCAGCAGGAGGACCATAAACTGTCTAGAAAGCACTACAATAAAAGTTCTCCCCAGAAATGTAGTTTGGATCATTTTTCTTTTTTTTAGGGGGGGGGGGGAGGGGGGTTGTAATCGATACATGCAGTTATTCAGTGGCTGATCAGGCAGGTAAATTAACATAAATACCATGAAGATCGCTTAAGATGACATCAGATTGGTAATTTTCTGTTGTGACAAATTTTCTAGTTATTCCTGCACATTATCTTGCTCGAATTCTTATCTGGATAACAGAAATTTCTGATGACAGTAACAATTTGTGAGGTCCCCTGTGAGTTCTCTATATCAGTTCAGCACTGAATCAACAAAAAAGTTTGGCTAGGTTTTACTGCAAAGCCAATAAAATTAAAATGAATATGAACATAAGAGATCCTTTTTTCTTCCCCCCCCTCTCCAGGCATTAAAATGGGACCTGTCTCCGATGACGACAAATGCCTGGCTAGGTGTGTACCTGCAAGTGGCCAACATGGATCACATCACGGACCAAGAGCTCGGCTTTGTCTTTCCTCAGTTTTCAACACACGCATTTATACAGATTTCTAGGGTAAGCACCTTTACTTTACATGTTAGTTTTCAGAAGTTCAAGCCATCAAGATAGCGGTAGAGAAACTGCTAAATACCTGGTATTTTTCACAACCAGTAGTATTCCTGACAGATGCACCAAGCGGTGGGGTTGGGTCTGCAGTGTCTTGTAAAGGATACACAACTAACTGCATTGAAGAGTTGAGCTGATTCAAGAACCGAGATCACAGCACTCGGGCCCCATCTTCAGCAGCCAGCGAAGAGTTCCAATGCTAATGGTGCGTTTGTCTTGCCTTTTCTCTGATCTTTGAGCATCTGCCAGAACCTCTCGTCCCTCCCCTCTGCATCAATCTCACCAGACTATGGTGATCCATGTGCTCCTCCGAAATGTACACACTCCCCCACAAGGTACTAACCACGTCTGCCCTATCATGCATCAGTATTCCACCAAGTTGTGCGGAGCCAGCCAGTCTGTCTGCCTGTTTATTTCTCAACACACCTGCGTATTCCGGTGAAAAAATCCCGAAAAAATCCTCACCCTTGTCCTCAGCAGTGAAGCATGCCACTCTGCACGAAGCATGCCTGTCCTGATCTTCCTCAGCATGCTTTCTGAGTCAGTAACAATCACCATGTATGTATGTGTGTGTGTCATGTTCTCTTAACCAGCGGAAAGCTGCTGTGACTGCCTCCACCTCCATTCTTAAGCTGGATGTTGTGGTATCATATGCTAGGCTCTCCTGCACCAAACGTCGACCATTAACTTTTGCTAAGAAACACCAAGCACTTCTTTTGCCTCTTGACACTGAACCGTCTGTGTAAATGATCAAATCCTCTGAGCAAGTATTATATGAATTAATTGCTGAATTTCCACCTCCGTGGACACACATGGCCTTAGTGAACATATGGCCTGCTGCAAAAAAGTTTATGACAATAGGAAACATGCTGGGGATAGACAGCTGTAGAGAACTACAAGGAAAGATTAAACACATATCACAAGAGCAGGTTCTCCAGGTTATGCTGGTGTGTTAGCAAATGAGCAGGCAGACATACTGGTCGATTCTGCACCACTTGGTGATGAACTGATGTATGACAAGCTGGAGCGAGTGATCAGTGCCAAAGGCACAGAAAGATCATTACAGTCTGAGGAGAATGGCACTGCGAGGAGTTACAAGGGGATCTGACCAACGCTTGACACTCAGGGAAAGGGGAGACGGATATACAATCAGTTACTGGTACCATCCGATTTTTAACTCTTTTCTTGCTGCTGTAGATAAGGACAGAGCGCTTATGGGGGTGTCCCAAGTGCTATGATGTTGATTCCTAATTCAGCATGTAACATTCAACAATATTTAAAAGATTGTTCGGACTTAAGACTTGAGTTAGAAGTAGAACGGAGCATTTATGGGTTGCTACCCTTGTTCCAAAATGTTGATCCATTTTTTAAACCGTTAACCTCTGTTTTCACATCTTCTAGCTGTGTGATCTGAGTTTGATGGATGCCGGATCCTTACAGTTCCGCTACAGCGTGATTGTGGCCGCTGCCCTTTACTACCACACTTGTGAGCAGATGGTGATGGATGTATCGGGTAAGCTTGTCATCCACTGCATTTAGCTGGTCTTATATTGTTTTGTGTCATGATTTTATTTTTAAAGCATAAATAATGTAGAGGTTTCCCCGACATCTGATTCGGATTACATCGTCAGCATTAAGAAACCATTTTTGTCTCTATTTGCTAGAGTTGAGTCTCAGAAAATCATAGCTGATAAAAAGAGTCGGGAGATGTGGAACCAGCGTCGCTGCACGCGGTTATAAACCATAAGTGTTCTGCCATTAGTGCGGGCAGCTGATAAGAAACTGTCCGCCTGTGTCGCCATCCGCACGCAACTCTAAAGCTACAGCGATGTTCCTCGATTTACCTACCCCAGAGTGTTAACTATAGTACCCATTACCTAGATGGTAACCCCGCGAACCGCCCACTCTCCACTGGCCATGGACTGCAGCGAGTCGCAGTTGGATTTGAAAGCAAATCTCCTATCAACTGCACTAACGCAGCCCCATAGCTGATGCCTAACTGAAGCAATAATTATGGCAACAAAAACATGGGTATACTGCATTCACAGGGTCCAAATACAAAGTAACTTGTGGGTGGCCTGTGAAGCTAAGATTTAGAAATACACAAAACATTGTTGACTGGTGCGTGAGTAATATCCAGTAGACATGGTGCGTTGTTTGGGACCCCCCATGTTTAAATTGTTAATTTTGTGTTGTAGCCGAGTTTGTCATTAAATCGTGTGTAGTAGCAAAGTTTATCATTAATTGTTTGTCGGAGTTTCTACATTAATCGTGTGTAGTAGATAAGTTTATCATTAATTGTGTGTCGGGGTGTCTACATTAATCATTTTTAGTAGCTGTTTATCATTAATTGTGTGTAGTAGGAGTTTATCATTACTTGTGTTAAGGAGTTTCTACATGAGCTGTACCGAATATTCGCTTTTATTCGTTTCGGGGCCAAATAGTGGACCTAATAACTATTCAGTATTTAGCCGAATACGAATAGTGGTTACCTTACACCCGTTTTTGCATACACTGCCATTCACTGAAATAACTCATTAACACAATAGTTGCTGTTGCCTTAGTCTGTCGTATCGAGGGCAACTGCCACCCGGTTGCGTGGCACAGCATTAAGCATTAAGTTCTAACATATAGCTGTGAGTCCTGGACAATCGGTAGGCAGGCCAAACAATTTATTGAGGCCTCAGAGATGTGGTTTTACAGAACAATGCTTAAAATACCTTGAACAGCCAAAAAAAAAAGCAACAAGAGGTTTTGAAAGAGGCGGGAGCCTGAAGAAAAATTATCACAGACATCAGAAGGAGACAGTCATCATTTTTTGGCCATGTTATGAGAAGAGGGAAAATGGAGCATGTGGTGACCACTGGAAAGAAGAAGGGATAGAGGAAGACAACGAGAGAAGATTCTTGACAGTCTTGTTGCATGGCATGGAGGTGTTGTCAGCTCATGAACTAATACATGCTGCAGGAGATCGCAGATTGTGGTAAGGCCACACCAGTCGACAAGGCACCAGATGATGATGATATACCAGTCATATTCGGCTAGATAGTTCGTCCCGCTATTCGTGTTCGGCCGAATAGTGAAAATCCCTGTTCGGTACAGCCCTAGCTTCTACAATATTTATGTGTAGGGGCTGAGTTTACCATTAATTGTGTGTAATAATGAGTTTACTGTTAATTGTATTTGTAGGAGCTTGTCACTAATTGTGTGTAGAAGTTTCTACATTAATTGTGTGTAGTAGGTGTTGATTATTTGTTGTTTACTGTGTGTAGCTGAGTTCACTAGGAACAATTCTTGTTTTTGTGTGTATGTGTGTTATTTTGTATCTTACAAAATGAAAAGGCACGGTGAGCTGACACACAAAAAACTTAAGGGGATGGGGGGGGGGGGGGGGGCAAAAGGGAATAATCATAGCGAGTGTTCCAATAATTGTCTATTCCTGAGCTTGCCATTAATTATGTGTAAATGTGTAACACAGTTAAGTCATTACTTGTTTGAAGGAAGTGGGTTATTACGCAGAGTTATGGTGAACTGAAAATCAACAAGTTCTGGCAACCTTGACATTCCCTTTTCCAGAATCTTCTTTTCTCGCCAAAACAAGCTATTGACATCAAACTGATATTGTCTGGCCTTGGCCTTCTTTCTAGAAGTTTTGAAATGCATTCGTTTCATCATGTGACCCAACCTTGTCGTACTAGTGAATACCTTGTTGACGTGTCCTATCAAAGCAAACACAATTGTCCTTGTTTTTCTAGAAGCTTCTATGACCTCAATTGTCAGTTTAACTACTATATCTGCGTAGAATAGGATGATGAAATCTGATGCAATCGAGATATAATTAGCAAATCCCATGTGAGAACGTACATAGTAAACAAGTTTAGACGTACTAGAATATTCTAGAAGCGGACAAAGCGAGAAGAAAACAAATACCTAGCATTCCAGCATCCAAGTATGAATAGTGAGCAACAAAGCACTTTAGAAATTCTTCAGTCCACAAGACTCAAGAGAGGAGAGACCAGTCATGGACTCTCAAGACAGCCTTCAGTGGTAGAGATGTAAGCCCAACACTAGAAGCCTTCAGTCGTTGAGACTCAGAGGACGAGCGGCTAGTCTCAATGATCCTTAATGCCAGCTCAACACTGGAAGCAGTGCAACCGTTCATATTGAACCTCGAAGACAGTCACTGGAGAGCAGACATGAAACGAAACATCGAGCTACAGAGACGACACACAGGATACATGGATCCATGGTTAACAGAGACACATTAGGAACACTATAGAGTCGACGATCGAGCCGTTAGTACCAAACAGCACTAGAAGCCAGTTGGCAGTTACAGACACTAGAATCAGTTAACAAAGTAACTACAAATAAAGAACACAACGCAATCTCAAGAGTAAGAATACAACGCGAACCTACGAGTATTTAGCCTTAGAGAGAACACAGTGCCATTCAGAATATTATTGATGTATTTGTGTCATTGCTAAAGTATCACAATAAAGACAGTACAGACGAAAACAGTTGTTTCCAGACATTTTGTATGCAAGCCTCAGAGTCACGCGAGAAACATGTAGCAAGCAAAACATCATCCTCATCATCGCCACTATCGACACGACCATCTTTCTCCTCGTCTATAATCTTCCAATCGACTCCTCCTGTAGCAAAACCTAAAGACGAACCTGGGTGTGACAACGACAAACGCAACGAAGAAGAGAGCTGTGCTACAAATGTTGCCATTAATTGTTTATAAAATTGTAGATTATTGCTAATCTCTTTATTGTGTACATGTTTTGTTTACTGTTTTCTGTTAGCTTCCAGGATTGTTAATTATTTTCTCTTGTCTTACAGGTTTAAACTGGGCAGACCTGTATCCATGTGTGAAGTGGATGGCCCCTTTTGCCAAGGCAATCCTTGACGTGGGCCAGTCGCCAATCAAGTTCTTCCCTCACATTGCACCAGAAGATTGCCACAATATACAGACGCATAATGTGGACATGCCCCTTGTGGTAAGTTTGTCATACATCCCTGAGAAGTTTGCCATACACCCCTGAGAAGTTTGCCACACATCCCCAAGATCTGAGCTGGTCTGGCACAATTTTTGTGGTGATAAATATATTAGGAAGTATTATTTCTTCTGCGTGTTGTCTCAAGTGTGAGCTTTACAGTATTTTTTCTTTTTCTTTTAAATTCCCTTAGCTGCCTGTAAAGTTTGGCTTCTACCCATATTAGTCAGAAGTATTGTCTTGTTATATTGTATTAGAATTCCTTGAGCAACCCAGTGCAATAAGTTCATCCTCTCGACTTTAACTATCTTTTAATGTTAACTTGAAAAATAATATTCGTGTCTTATGGGTTAAAGAACTGTCCTATTGGTTGACTTTATATTTGTGGGAAAAGACTTCCATTTCCATTAATAAAAGCCAAACAGTAGAATTGAGTGGATGTTATTGCAGCGCTTTATCAGAAACAATTTTCAGGCCCCATAAGTCATATTTTTAAGCTTAGAAATCGCATCAGCTAAAAATGTAATGTTCTGTGTGTTTGTTAGCTGTCAGGTGGTCAGCGAAACAATTCTTCCTGTTGTGCTGGTCTGCGGGTGTGTACAGATTGAAGAATACTGCATTAGCATATAAATTGAAAGGTATAACTGTGATGCCAGGATTCCTGCAGCATGGTCCTGCTGTTATTTGGAGACAATGATAACAAGGACTTTCGAGACAGCGGTTCCACATCGCTCACCGGAATGAAAGACTCGGGAGTTAAGATCAGCATAGCCAAAAGCGAGAGACACACTGGGCATACAGAAAGACTTATCAATCAACAAAGAGCTGGCACTATTAGTCACAGGACACGGGTTCATACTGAAGGAAGGAACTGAGCGCCTATGGACATGTCCGGAGTGCAGTGATCATATCCCAACTGACTAACTATAAATAACTTTGAATCTTTATGTTATCTGGCGTGTCCTTAGACTTGAGCATCGTGGAGAATTGTCTCATAAACAGCACCCTGTCCTGATAGCTGAGCTATTTTTGGCTGTGTAAAGATGGTGACCTGAAGATCACAGATTGTGTAAGGCCACACCAGTCGACAAGGCACCGGATGATGATGATACACTGTTCGTATTCGGCTAGATAGTTTGTCCCGCTATTCATATTTGGCCGAATTGTGAAAATCCCTATTCGGTACAGCCCCAGCTTCTACAATATTTATGTGTAGGGGCTGAGTTTATCATTAATTGTGTGTAGTAATGAGTTTACTGTTAATTGTATTTGTAGGAGTTTGTCACTAATTCTTCTTCTTCTTCGCGTTCACCAGCTGTACACTCTGGCCGAAAGTTCTGGTTGCTCGTCCACTACTGAAGTGCAGTCCTGCTCCAGAACCTGAGTGTTGCATGTGCATCAGTTTTACAGATCTCATTCTCTTGATCTTGAATACAGACTGTTGGTTCCTTGCCTCTCCGGCAGATGCACTCCTACTTCTAAGGAAGCTCCCCAGTTAGTCGATTCTTACGACATGCTTTTGGGGAGGCAGTGGGTCTATTCTTGTTTTCCCCTACAATGGGGCCCCGGAGCCCACAAAGTATATGAGCCAGTTTTCCTTAATGCTCAGACCATGCACGTTGTTAATGTTTTTTTTTCTTTCTTGGTCCGTGGTATTCTAAGAATTTTTTGTGTAGCATTTCAGTTCAAAGGCTTTGATTTTGTCTTAAATGATTTAGTCTTTTTCTTCTTCTCTTTCACCTTGTACGTCATCGAAGTATCGGCGGGAGTTGTAACATTCGTTGATGAACTCTGTCAAGAGCACTATTAAGACCGATGTTCATTTCTATAAGACTGTTTCTAATGCCATCACTCCATATTTTTCAAGGTCTTCCACAAGCTTTATACCCATTTTAACGTTTTAGTGTGGTTTTTCTGTGGCAGATGGTACCAGGGCATTCTTGTTGGGTGTCCAAACCACTTCATTTGTTGTTCTTTGATGAACTGTAAAATTGGCTTTATTCCTAGCACGAAATGTTTAAGTACTTCTTTTTGTTTTGACAGGATAGAGCTTTGTCTCATCAAGCAGCTTTCCAGGAGAACGACCGAGACTCGCCGACCTCACTTGACCTCTCGAGTCACCTTGTAGGACTTTTAACACCGCCAAGTTTTAGGAATCAGTCATCAGAAGAGTTCCCTATCAACCGCAGATGACAGCAGTTAGTTTTAGTTTTATTATTTTTCTGTAAAGTTTGAGCTGTCCAGGTTTGGGCGAGGGGTCAAAGTTGACCAGAGTATGGTACATACATAGCATGGCCAATTGAGGTCTTTACCTATGAAAGATAGCAGGTCATTGAATGTCCTCTCGCTGTTGTCGCACTGCCGTATCAATTTGTTGTGCATTTAAATTCAGCCTGTGTATTTTATCTCTGTAGCTTTGAATAATAAAGTGGTATTAAAATTGTATTTATAGTTTTGCCAATTTATTGTCTTTGGTATGGATTCAAATTATTGGTTTACATGGTATGGATTCAAATTCATTGTTTACAGGGGAGGTTTATTAAAGTGTATGTTGTACTTGTAGTTAGATCATGTCAGCTTTTAGTAATAAATAATAAGGTGCTGTAGTGTTGTATAAGTTCTAGAAACATTTGGAATCTTTAACTACTGTTGCCTTTTAAAAAAAATATTGTTTTGTGGAAAATGTGATCCATAAAACATCTCATGTATCATTTAATTAGTTGAAGTGTCACATGGTTAGGAATATTTGATATATCCAGTGTAATAATAATAATACATAAACAAACTAAATAACATGACCAAATTGATGCTTTTATCCGATATATAAAAGAGTTTGTTATGCTGTGTTTGTTTTCAGTCAGTGGCCTGATTTTTCACAATGCTGTGTCCATAAAGTCAGTATCTGTGGCTTGGGCCCTGTGAATGTGCTTCGTAATTCTGAAATTCCTAGGTTGATTCCAGCGGCAGGCAGTTTAAAAATAGACTGCTATGTGTGAATTTATGCATTGGTACAGAATTCCAAGGAGCAGTGAATGTAGAGCTGCCTAGAGAGAGAGAGAGAAAAGTCACAAACAGCACAAAATGCTGTGTCTGGCTCTGCAACACCTTGTAAAGCAGGGCTGTTCAAGCAGGTTTAGTCAGGGGCTTCATGTTTAAAACTGGAATCTCCAATGGACAGAGGCCCACGCCCCAACGTAAAAATATCATTAATAGAATACAACTGGCAGTGATCTGCGGGCCACTTGCTAGGCCTCCGTGGGCCAGGTTTGGCCTGCTGGCCGCCAGTTGAATAGCCTTGTTGTAAAGGATGCGTAACTAACTTTTATTTTGGCGTCTGTAAAACGTTTGTGCAGCAATTTACAAGGGACATGACAGTTTTTGGTTCTTGTCTGAGTAGACTCGTTGTCCAGTCCACAACCCAGGATCAGGAGGGAATATACCATCATGTTTTGATTGTTGAACTTTAAGCAGTTCTCACCAGTGTTTCAAAACTTGTAAGTCCTTGTCATCATCTATGAGCTGCTGTACCATCAGAGTTTCTAAAAAGCTTCACCATCTATTTGTGGACCCCCCGTAATGAAATTGAGCATTTAAAAAGATCTCATTCTTTGAGGGCGGCGTCCGTGGCTAAGGCATTGCGAGTCCGACTCGTGAGCCAGCATACCGCGATAGAAACACACTGCAGGCTGCGTGGATTTTTGTCGTGGTATGGGACGTCGCAGGTCGACCCAGCCTAAAATGGGTACCAGGATGGGCTGTCCTGGGAAAGTAAAGACAGCCGGCGTAATGCTGACCATATTACCCACAGAGTGCTGATGGTCTGTAAAAATATGGGACGCTCTGCCCATTTGCCCGATGCGCCAAAAGGCGTGAAAAGGGATCTTTACTTTTTTTTTTTTTTTTTTTTTTTACATTCTTTGAGGAGAGAGTAGAAGTTCTAAAAAATATTCAACATATTGAAGGCGAGACAGAGGCAGAATTTTAATCAGGCTGCAACTATTACTATTAGCTTGTTAACTTTTTTGTTGGTTACTGAAGAAGGGGACGGAGCACACGTGGGAATGTCCTGAGTGCAGGGATGTTAATTCTTTATTCATTAATTTCTCATCCTCTTCTCCCAACTATGTGCTGTTCATCATCATGTCTCTCCTTACTTACTTACTTACTTAGTCGCTCCTCTTCTACCTTGGGGTGTAGAGGTTTGCCAGAGAGATCGCCAGACGTCACTATCAGCAGTTTTCTTTCTGGCTTTGTTCCATTCCAGTCCTCTGTCAGTTAGGGACTGTCGAATGTTGTCTTCCCAGTGCACCCTGGGTCATCCTGGAGGTCTGGTTCTCTGGTTCTTAGCCTCCCATGCCTGCCAGGGTGGCCAATTTTCTCACATTCTACATACATGTCCAAACCATTCCTCATCTCCCCTACTAACTCATTTTCCTTCCCGTTAATGTTTCTTATGTTCCATGTTCCATAAATCATAGAACGCATATGTGTCTCCACAGACTTCTATTTAGTGTACTCCAGAATTTGTACAGCTTCGATGTTGATGGTTCATCTCTACACATCAGCACTGACTCTGCATAGCTCTTGATTCTTTCTGTCCCACAAGGTCTTAGCTAATGTCCGAGGGAATTACCTTTTCTTTGCCTTCACCAGCTGTAAACTCCAGCGGAATGTTCTGGTTGTTCGTTCACTTCTGGACTGTAGTCCTCTTCTAGAACCTGAGTGTTGCGTGTGCCTCCGTTTTACAGATTTGACTCATCTGTATGCAGATTGCTAGTTCTTTGCCTCTCAGGCAGGTGAACTCTGAAATGTCCCAATTAGTCGACTCTTACAACATGTTTTTGGGTAGGCAGTGTGTCTATTTTGGTTTTCCCCATAATAGGACCCTGGAACCTGCTGACTGGTTGATACAGAGTGCTGATTGATTGATACAGAGTGCTGACTGGTTGATACAGAGTGCTGACTGGTTGATACAGAGTGCTGACTGGTTGATACAGAGTGCTGATTGGTTGATATAAAGTGCTGACTGGTTGATAGTGAACGCTGATTGATTGATACAGAGTGCTGACTGGTTGATACAGAGCGCTGATTGGTTGATACAGAGTGCTGACTGGTTGATATAGAGTGCTGACTGGTTGATACAGTGTGCTGATTGGTTAATATAGAGTGCTGACTGGTTGATATAGAGTGCTGACTGGTTGATGCAGTGTGCTGATTGGTTGACATAGATTGCTGACTGGTTGATACAGAGTGCTGACTGGTTGATATAGAGTGCTGACTGGTTGATACAGTGTGCTGATTGGTTAATATAGAGTGCTGACTGGTTAATACAGAGTGCTGATTGGTTGATATAGAGTGCTGACTAGTTAGTTAATACAGAGTGATGATTGGTTGATACAGAGTGCTGACTTGTTAATACAGAATGCTGATTGGTTGATATAGAGTGCTGACTGGTTGATACAGTGCTGGCTTGTTAATACAGAGTACTGATTGGTTGATATAGAGTGCTGACTGGTTGATATAGAGTGCTGACTGGTTGAAACAGAGTGCTGACTGGTTGAAACAGAGTGCTGACTGGTTGAAACAGAGTGCTGACTGGTTGATACAGAGTGCTGACTGGTTGATACAGAGTGCTGACTGGTTGAAATAAAGTGCTGACTGGTTGAAATAAAGTGCTGACTGTTTAATACAGAGTGCTGATAAGTGGATGAATAGCCAAAACTTTCCACCAGAGTTTACAGCTGGTGAATGCGAAAAAGAAGAAAAATGTGTGTTTACCATTGTCTTTGTAAGTGTGTTTACATTTTATTGACTCATGTGTTTAACTGGGAGCCACCTTGGTGTAATGGCTAGATGCCCGCCTGCAGATCAGGATCTGGACTTTTTTTTTCTCTCTCTCCCAAAATGGCCCTGGCTCCCAGGTCGACCCAACCTTGCGTGGGTACTCGGTAGAGTCCTGGGAAATAAAGGTGGTTGGTGTGATGCTGACCACATCACCCACCAATTGCCATTTGGTCTTTAAAATTGTAGGTCTAGCCCTATATGCCCGCAGGTGCGGAAAAGGGTCCTTTACTTTTAATTTGTTTTGTGTGCAGATTAATGTGTGTGTACCAGTGCTGTTATATGTGTGTAAAATAATGTTTAAATGTGTGTATACCATTGTTCAATATGTGTAAATTAATGTTTAAATGTGTGTATACCATTGTTCAGTATGTGTAAATTAATGTTTAAATGTGTGTATACCAGTGTTGTTATATTTGTGTAAATTAATCCTTAAATGTGTTTATACAAGTATGTTTGAATGTGTGTATAGCAGTGTGTTTAAATGTGTGTAAATTAATGTATGTATACCAGTGTTGTTTACATGTGTATATACCAGAGTATTTACATGCCTGAACACATAAAGTGTCTGTTGCATGTTTAATGTATGCACCAGCCACGTTTTTATTTGTAGTCTCGACCAGCAGTCCCAGCATGTGCACGGACATTAAAGGGAATTTTTCTCCCTGTGCACCTATTCATCCCTCTCGTGGATGCACTTCTCCTTTTTTTTTTTTTTTTAAAAACCATCCTGATAAGATAGGGTGCCCCTAAAGTATGGACAGATAGCGACAACAAAATAAATATTTTCAAAAAAGATTTATGAACATTTTTTGCAGTTGGAATATTTAAAGTTTTCAATATGATTCACATTTTCCAATGCTAAGGTGGATGCGCATTGCAAAATTTAAGTGTGTTTGTAATAAATCCACATTGCAGTTATTTTAGCACATTTACTCCTAATGTGTTCAATTAAGTGTTTTACATATGTGATCTGTCTTACATATGTGATCTGTAGTTAAGCACACACCTCCTTGAGCATACGTTGGAAGAAGAAGTTCAAGGTGGTAAGGTCAGGTGAAATTACAGTTAATGAGCTTGTGTATGTGTCCGGACGGTAGAGACACCTTGCTAGGCAAGGAAAGAAAATCCCGCTTCTATAAGTTTCCACCACCATCAGGCCATGTGAAATGTGAAGAAAAGATGGAGGAAGTATGTGAGCTTAAGAAGTAAAAATGTAAGAGAAGAGAGAGGAAACATTTCAGAAGACTAAAGCTAGCACAAATTTCAGTAGTTCTACAGGAGGGCACAGGAAAGGTGAAGAAGAGATAGCAGATCTTCATCTTAAGAAATGAAAAATGTTAGGAGGAGGA